CCGACCAGAAGCCTCCCACCCGCCCGAAAAGATTCGTTTACTCGCCCTGCGTGCTGGGCCAGGAGGGTTTCACCCAGGGGCGACACTACTGGGGGGTGGACGTGGGGAGGAGGGGGGGCTGGGCCGTGGGGGTGGCCAGAGAGTCCGTGAGCATGGGGCAAGACGAGGTGAGCCTGAAGCCCGACGCCGGCGTCTGGGCCATCGAGCGACAGTGGTGGGGTAAGTCCTGGGCTCTCACTAACTCCAAGACACCCCTGGAACTAAGTCGGAACCCGCAGAGGATCCGGGTTTCTCTGGACTACGAGGCGGGGCTGGTGGAATTTTTCGATGCCGACCAGGCAAAACCGTTCTGTGTTTTCTCCCCGGGCTCTTTCGGGGGGGAGCGACTCTTCCCTTTCTTCCGGGTCGGCGGGGGGGCCGCGCGGCTCAGACTGTCTGTGAGCGCGGGAAGTCCTCCCCTGGGGGGCTCTCGCACTCCTAAAGATCTCGCCGAACTCTCGAGTGGCACAGCAGGAAACAGAGGGTCGGAATCAACGGTCGGTTTTCCAAGCGGGGAGAGGTAACGAGTGCAGACCCCCCAAGGCTCTGTTGTGGGACCCGTCCTGTTCAACCGAATCGAGAGAAAGGGGTGAACAGGGAGGTGGCAAAATGTGCAGATGATCCCAAACTGCTCAAGAGAGTTTGGACCAAAGCAGCCGGTGAAGAGTTTCTAAAAGTTCTCTCCAGGCTGAGAGAGGGGGCTAGATCCGTTCGTGGCGGGTCGGCCCATCGACCGGCCTTTGGGCCGACCCAGCCTGGCCGTTCTTATGCAGATCACATTTTGGAATCATGGCTGCATTTTCTCTTGGTCCCTTCTGCGCTGTGTTACGAGGATCACATGCCCTGTGCAGAGGGGGAGACCTGCCTGCCTCGGCTTATGTCCTGGAGCAGTGTTTCTAACCTTTTTTATTATTATTAAAAAAAAAGTACCCCCCCCCCTTTTCTAAAAGAATGGTTGGCACCCCCAATACCTGCAGTTTTCAGTCACACGGCTGGCTTTTCTATTATTGCCACACCTTTGTTTAAACAGCTTCATTGTCGCCAGGCTGGCGATGGACTTTTTGGGTGTAAAAAGTACAAAAATAATAAAGCGCCGTCAAACTTACCACAAAAATTCAGTTTTCGCCAGATTTCAGTGAGCCCCCCAGAGGGGGTGGGGTTGGGCTAGGACAGACCCTCTGAGCAAGTGAAGGGCCTTTTAACCTTGCTAGTCCCTTCTCAGCCGTGCAAGGACCAGCCCCCCCAGCTCCTCCAAAGGCTCAGGCGTCACTGCTGTAAGAGACCTGCAGGGGGGGGTCTGCCAGTGTCTCCCCCCCTTTGAACTCAGCCCTCCGCTATGTCGAACTCATTTCGAAACAGCGGTTGGCCTGTGTAGACGCTAGTACAGTTATTTCGAAATTACTTTGGTGGGTAGACATACGCTCTGGCTACATCTCCACTGGCAGCTTCTTGTGCCAAAACTTGCCGGCTGTCTACACTGAACGCGCGTTCTTCTGCAGGTAAATGTTCAGGACAGTGTCGGCCAACAGGGCTTCTTCCAGTAGAGTTAGTCCTCTCCCCACGAGGGATAAGCCCTCTTGCGCAAGAGCTCTTCCACTAGAGGCCAGTGTAGACAGGCAACATGAATTTCTTGCGCAAGAAGCTCCTATGGTTAAAATGGCCATCAGAGCTTTCTTGCACAAAGAGCATCCAAACAGCCATGGATGCGCTTGAACAAAACCACATACCAGTGTAGACGCTCTCTTGTGCAAGAGTTTTTGCACATGAACTCTTCCGCAAAAGAGTTCTTGCGCAAGAAGTCACCAGTGCAGACTGTTTAACCTCTGTGTCTGGAAATGGGTGACAGGGGAGGGATCACTGGATCATTCCCGGTTCTGTTCCCTCCCTCTGCGGCACCTGGCATTGGCCGCTGTTGGCCGACAGATGGATGGACCTTTGGTCGGACTCAGGGCTGCCAGATGCCTTCACAAACATCCCAAACAAGGTAGGGAAAAAAATTGGGTTGAACCAAAATAGAAAAAACACGGAGACCAAACTTGTTGAAACCAAAAACCCAAGAAAAGCCGCGTCGTTAAATTCCCCTGCTCCCCCCGGTACATGGCCAGTATTTGGGTTTTTTTACTGGACAGAAGACGTAATTACCGGCCTGTCCGGGCAAAAAAACTGGCAACCCTGCTCTGACCCCGCCTGGCCGCTGGGCTGTTCACTGGATACCGCATCCCCACTGGGGGACCCTCCCCCCACCCCCAGGGTGTCAGAGGAAGAAGATGAAGCACAAACAGCAGAGCACACTGGGTATTTTTTCGCGGGGGGAGGGGATCCCTTCCTGTCCCCTGCTGGTGGCTGCCCGAAGCCCTGAAGCATGAGCATTAGGCCGCGGTCTGTTCTGAAACACCTGCCTGTTTAGCCAGGCTGACGCCCGCCACCCGTAAGCCTGGATCCCGGGCAGGGGCCGACCCCAGCAGGCCGGGCAGCGGCAGGC